GCTCCATTGATGACAGTAATGTACTATGGCGCCTTATTAAGGAGGAGCTCCAGGCTCCCTCCCCCCTCCCAAAAATAAAAGATTAAAAATCAGCAACTACAAAGGCTGTAGCTCCTAATTTTTAATATAAGGACACTTACCTGTCTGGGGATCCAGAGATGTTCTCACCTGAGCAGCTTCTTCAAACGGCTTTGGGTGCTTTCGCCAGTATCTTGGGTAAGCCAGTTTCCTACTGCGCATGTGCGTGCTGTGCTTTGTGAATGGTCCCGCAATCTTCAGGGACCTGTGAATTCTCCCAGATGCCTGCGGGGGAAGGAGGAGGGGGCTCAACGTCATCGCAGCAATCTTACCCGGGAGTACCTGCTCTCTCCCAGCCACCCTAATGATGTGCCATGGGATACGATGTTCGTATCCTAGGAGGGTGTGGAAAGTGAAATGTCATTCTCACCTAGAAGAGAACTTGGGAAGACCCCAAAAGGATAAAAAAAAAAAAATGTATTCATAATAGTATGGTTAATTTAAAAAATAAAAAGTCCTACTATTTTATTAACCCCTCCACACACACAATTTTTTCCAGGGTGCAGGATCGATTGTCACTTCATAGATCCTCAGACACTGCAGGCAAGGGAGTAATAGGCTCCTGCTGCCCTCAGTCAAACTGCTGGGAGGTCGGTGCAGGGATGAGGCCTTGCTGGTGCTGTGTGTGTCTATGGATGCACACAGCTCAGGGAGGGAGCACACATGGGTGTCTTAACATGTGGCTAGCTAAGGAGACACCCTGATTGGATGCAGCCAATGTTCAGCCAACTAGTTTTCACCTGGCCCCTGCAATTTTTATTGAGAGATGTTGGGTGGGAGACTGTTGACCGGGCCACCAACTGATTGAATTGTGGATAGTTTGTGAGGAAACTCCAATTCAATCCGTGTATAGCCAGAGTTTCTTGCACACTCTGCGTTTGCCTAAATGTGAAGGCAACCCAGATTTTTCCTTAAATATTTTCTGATCCTGGAAGAGAACAGCTGAAATTTCAGATTGATTGGCACCTTAATGGATTTTGAGTTCTTTGTACACCAGGAGTCCTGGGGCAGTGTATGGATCCCGGGCTTTTCTTTGTTTTTTATTTAGCCATAGTTTGCCCCTCTTTTTATACATGATCTGTGTTCTGCTGGTATCTCCGAATATTGGTGATCTCTCCTTGATAAATGTTACATAAAGTATACTGATTTTGGTGGTGATGGTAAAGCTACACAGTACTCATACCAAGACAGTGAGGAAGTTCAGCAGTGGTTTCCTGTGCCAGCTAGTCCTCTCCCCTATGAGCAAACCTTGTGATTCAACTATATATAGCAGCTCTGATACTTCATGGTTGACTTGTGAGTTTGTAGAGTCTTCATTTCCTTCTATTTTGTGAAGTGACATTAGAGTGTTACTAAACCCACAACAGTAAAATCATTCTGTATATGCTGTAAAGCATGCTTGTTATACTCACTGTGGAACCTAAGGGGTAATCCTCTGCATTGTGTAAAAATTTGGTTTGATCCTGTCTTCTCGGATCCTCCCCTTCTTTTAGTGTCTCCCTCTCATCTCCTAATATATATTGTGTGGAGTCGCACTGCACATGCTCAGTTTGGTGTGTATAGCTAGAGAGGTTTTTTTGAGAGTGCATGTGATCAGCACTGTCCAGACAGGCCAGGGGTTCTGCACCCTCCTAGAGCAAACTGAAAAACTCCTACAAGCTTTAACCAATGCTATGTTAAATACTGATAGAAGCCACAAGACTGCTATATACTGCTGATGAAAAAGGTATTTAGCAGTTTATATTTATTAAAATAATTGCATTTCCATGTTGTGTGTACTGTGGGAGACCAGGTATAGTGAATGCAGGGTCCGGGGTTTAGTTACTCTTTAAAATGCTTTTGTTTTAAAGAATTTCAGGTATGCTGTATTTTTACATATTGGTCCAGCTTGGATCAGTGTAACTATGTATGCACTATACTTGGCTGATCCCCCCTGGAAGCTGGAAAACCGTTAAGTAGACTCCTCTACTAGTAAGAGCTCTTACTAGTTGCTTCAGTGATAGATGAGACCGACACCTGCTGATGTTCAGAGGGGCGGATGGTTTACTTGCTCACCTGGATCAGTTTTTCTGTTTTCTCACATTCATTAGACACCGCTACTCCAGTGATCTCCGTTTACTCTGGGGTCCTGTGCTAAGCGGCTGGCCTGATATATTGTGAACACAGGAGGTCGGCCATTTAACATGGGTTGCACAACCAGTGTGCATGAAGCCTAAGAGACCCAGGGATTATGTATATTTTGTAGTTTCTTCACAGGCAGTGTTAGTTCTCAGACTGCTGACAGAGGTTATGTGTTACCATGCGCAGAGCAGCACCATGCTAAATGTCTCATGTTGGAATAGAAACTTCTGACACAGCAATAAGAAATTTTACCCTACTATAGGCTGTGCATACAGAGCAACAAATGATACAATGAAACTGCATGATCAATGTTCCTCTAACGCAGGTGGAGAACACAAGGTGCAGGTAGGAGGGTTTATAATGCCTTTTTAAATAATATCAAAACCAAAGAACAAAAATGTAATATTGCAGTTTACTAGTTCTTAGATGTGGTGGCTGCCCATTGGCGTCCTTGCTGCCCATTGGCGTCCTTGCTGCCCATTGGCGTCCTTGCTGCCCATTGGCGTCCTTGCTGCCCATTGGCGTCCTTGCTGCCCATTGGCGTCCTTGTTATAAGTTGAATAGAAAGCTCAAACAATCCTGTTTTTCATTTTGGAAACTACTAATCTCATTAGCCCTATGTAATGGAGGTGAACAAAACAAACATGGTGGAAGACCACCCTGGGTGACAACAATGGCTTCATCCATAGATGCAATGAAAGAGTAAGCATAGCTAGGAGCAGGATGTCTTATCTGGAATACAAAGTGAAATAAAGCAGAAAATAAAACTAATGCAGCCACCTCATGGATATGCATATCATTGTTTTGGGGTGGGGGGGATGAAGAGGCCTTAAAGCGATTTCTAAAGGTGTTTTTTTTTTAAATAACAAACATGCTTACCTGTTGTGTGCAGTGGTTTTGCACAGAGCAGCCTGGTTCCTCCTCTTCTTGGGTCCCCCGCAGGCTCTCCTGGCTCCTCCAGTCTGTCGGGTGCCCCCACAGCAAGCTATGGGGGCACCCGCTACTCTGTGTGTACATTCGCACACGGAGTCATAGCTTGACCCCGCCCCCCTCATTGGCCGATGACTCCCGCTTGATGTCTCTGCCAATGAAGAGGCAGAGACCTGGGACGGCCAAGGCTGTTATTCATATTGCTGGATTGTGATGGGACTGGGGGGCCTGCTACACACAGAAGGTTTTTTACCTTCATGCATAGAATGCGTGGAGGTAAACCTTCACCCTTTACAGCCACTTTTAAGTACATAATCTCAGAGTCCTTAAAGAGACTGTGTCACCAACTAATTTGCAGGTAAAGGAACAGGAAAATCAAGTATTTTAAATGCTTACTAGCAGTTTTTTTTTTTTTTAATGCAATTCCAATGTACCTTTGAATTTGCCATAGATTTTGACTTGTTTCCTTGCACAGTCATCTCCCTCCTTGCATGTCACAGCCCTTTCCTTTCTGGTTCTAAGGACCTGTTCACACCAAATGTGCTGAGTAGACTTGCCCAACACAGTCGCAACTAATAAACAAGGAAAAATATATCCTTGTTCCTCATCATGTTTGTTTCCACCACAACGCTGCGGTCGTGTGTGCTGAATAAAGATGGCATACTGTTTTTTTCTTTGTATGTTTGTTTTTTTTCTTCCCTATGCATTGAGGTGTAACACAATCCACTGCATCACTGACACTGCGCTCAGTCGAACGTAATTGAATGTAACCCTCTGACTTTTCAATAAAGCTAGAAAATAGTGGTGTGTGTGTGTATATATATGTGTTATATATGTATATGTGTGTGTGTGTGTGTGTGTATGTATGTATGTATATATATATATATATATATATATATATATATATATATATGCACATTGCACCGCTGGCTTGCAGCACACACCAGCAGCAGAGCACACTGCTGGTATGAATGGGCCCTAATTACTGTTATGGCCCAGCTCCTCCACCCCTAAATATGCCCATGTGAACGAAGACATACACATGTGCCGAGACAAAGGCACTGTCAGTAAAAGGGTTAAAACGGTCATTGTTCAGCGGCTGCAGCCACGGATTAGTGTATTCTGATAATGGCTGATCCTACTGTCAGAATACAGTGTACCGGCAAGGATGGTTGCAACCTCTTCTTCTCTTTGTACACACCAGCGGCAATGCACACAGCTGGTATGAATAGGCCTGGATTGTGCTGGCCCAGCTCCTCCGCCCCTGCCCTCACCTCCTCCCTACACCCCCTTTTGGATCTCTGCTCAAGGAAGGTATATACAACATGTGTGAAATATGTTAAATGGGAACCTACCCGCATGGTTGTCAAATTTGGGAGCAGCAGCTATGCCCTTGCAGTTGCTCTGTCCCAAGTGACATAAATGGGACTGCCTGCATGGGGATGCAGAGAACATCTCTACATCCCTGATCAGACAAACACAGCCATCACATGGGCGCATGCTGAAATATGCCGTGTGTGCGTAGAGATAGGGGAAAAAAAGTCACTGGCAGTAACTGGGTTAAAGGCTACCTAACGGTCAGTGTGTTAATCGGTGACAGTATGGTACCTACATAGGAGAGGTTAAGCACTTTGACTCAAGAATCTTGTTTAGGTCTTGAGCTTGTAAGATAAATAGGTCATGGGATTATGTCTGTCCTGCTATTTACCAGTTTCGATAGTCGACCTACTATTTTTGTTTAGTAGGATTAGCTGTTTGAAAAGCTTCCCTCCATGCTTATGTATAACAAAAAAATGCAGCCATCTGAATGTTTGTTGTTTTTTCCTACAGGTTCCACCGGAGATCGTATTTACTTGTTTTAAAGCAGCACAATGGAGGACGTAGCGTTTTTGCGGGCAGAGTTGGACCGCGTGTCTGCAGAGCTACAGGAGACAACGGAGGAGAAGTTCCAGGCTGCTCAGTATGGACTGGCTGTGTTGGAGCAGAACGCAGAGTTAAAGCACAAATACTCAGACCTGGAGGCCGAATGTGAGCAGCTCAGGATGGAGCTAAAGCAAATGAAGGAGGTAGGAGCAGATTGATGCCCTTTGTATTTTTACTTTGTGATGTGTTTCTATATAAGGGAATAGACTGCACTTACAGTACTTGAATATTGAATTCAAGTATCAAACCTGTGGTGCCCCTTTTTTTTTTTTTTTTTTTTTTTTTTTATAAATTTGCACTGACAATTTTTAAAGTCAGGCTTTCAGTAGTTCCGATACACAGAGGGTTTAGCAAAATGCTGAGACATATTCTACAGTTAGAGTATGTAAACCCAACATTTTCATATTCCTGATATGTGCCTGCTGTACCATTTGAGTGAAAGTCTCATATTCTTCGTATTTCTTTGTGTGAAATCCCTGGTGTTCCTGCCAGTCCCTCTGCTCTCCTCCAATGATCAGCTTTGTACAGACCCAAACACCCTCTTCCCAACCCCCCTAGGGCACAGGCTTTCATTGCGAGAATTTGTTTGCTGCTGTTTCTCCTCCCCCAGTTCTAATGCATTTGAGAACAGAGGCAATAGGATCCCTTATAAGAAAATTAAAAAAAAAAAAAAAAAGGGGGGGGGGGGGGGTATTTTTAATGTTCGTTTTTTTTTTTTTTTTTTTTTTTTAACTGTCCATACTCAGCTGTTTTTTTTTACCTTTTTCATTTCTGTTTTAAATTGAATGGGTTGTTTTACAAGGTGAGAATTCACATATACTTTTAATTGGAACTACACTGCATCTATGTTACCACAATCCAAAACTGCTATTTAATTCATTTTTAATATTCAGAGTAAACTCCCCCATCCATCCATGTCTCCATGCTTTATTTGGTCAAAAAATATTTTCAAAAACACCCCTTTTTTGAATAAAGGCAGATGATTCCTGTAGCATTATATTTTTGTTTATTTCAGGTACTTATACAGCGCTTTACATATCGTACATTCATTCCCTAATCTTCAAGGGTGTACAATCTAAGGTCCCTAACTTACATTCGTACATACACATACTAGGGCCAATTTAGACTGGATCCAATTAACCTAGAAGCATGTCTTTGGAATGTGGAGTTTGGAGATTTACTTCCTGGAATCCATCTGCCCTTAGCTCATGCATGCGGTCAGGGGAGTGTGCTTAGCTGAGAACCCCTCCTCCTCCTCTCCACCCTTCCTGAAGACTCATGGGATGTATGACATTTGCCTAGGCATGGAAACCAGAAAATAACTGAAGAAATTTAAAAAAAAGTGTAATATTTATTTCAGTTACTTTATATAGTGCCATCAGTTTACGCAGCGCTTTACATATATATTGTACATTCACATCAGTCCCTAACCCTCAAGGGGCGTACAATCTTAAGGTCCCTAACTTACATTCATACATACATATACTAGGGACAATTTGGACAAGAGCCAATTAACCTACCAGAATGTCTTTGGAATGTGTGAGGAAACCGGAGTACCCGGAGGAAACCCACGTTGTCACAGGGAGAACATGCAAACTCCAGGCAGGTGGTGCCGGGGTTGGGATTCGAACCAGCGACCCTAGTACTGCCAGGCGGAAGTGCTAACCATTTAGCCACTGTGCTGCCCCCGAAGTAAATATAATCTACCTTCCTTTCTATTAATGCCTACAGCATAAGGAATTAAAATAGTTCATGTTGACTGAGAGAGTGAAGTTCTGCCTTAAGCTGGTCATTCACGGTTAGATTTTCATCTAAACATTTGTCAAAATCGTTGATTAGAACATTCTTTCTTGCTGTTATTGAGTCCACTAATTTTGTTCATAAGCACTTGAAGTGGAACAAAACTCATCAATTTAATGGTTTTCCAAATATTTATATTCAGGGCATGCCATGAAGGATGACTCACAGTTGCTTGCGCTCTCAACTGAACTGCTAAGCCATCAAATGCCAAATTTTTTTTTTTTTTGTTTCTATATATATTGTACACTCCATGCCCTTACAATATAAGGTCCCTATCTTGGATACATACTAGGGCCAGTTTAGACAGGAGTCAGTTGCCTACGAGCATGCCTTTTGGATTGCGGAAGGAAAACCACGCACGCTTTGGGAGAATGGGTCCTTTAAAACACTGGTAGGACACAAAGTGCTGCAAGGCAAAAAGTCTAAGAATGATTCTTAGATTTTGTGTTGGCATGAATTTTTGAATACTTAAGCTGGCCGTCAAGGACCGTCAGAATTTCGCTCAGGGCATGGCCTCCTCTATTCGTTGACTATTTAATCGACTTCTATCAAAGGGGAATGTTGGATTTTTCATTGATTAGTGTATTCTGACAGTGTCCCAGCAGAGGATTTCCTCCATCCACCTCGTCTGTATTTTGTATGCCCTATTCACAACACAATGCTGGTGTCATGTGAAGTTTGTGTCTTTTGGTTTGTTTTTTCCTGTGCAGAAAAATGCATGTAAGTAGCATATTTGTGCACAGAAAGACACATGACACCAGCATTGTGCACACCTCTGCATGTGATGTAAACCAGACCTAATGATTTTTTAATGTGTGATCTTGGCCAGGAGGAATTTACCTGTACTTGCCTGGAGTTTTTCATGTGCTAACAGGACAAATATGTAATACCTGTGTTTTTACTAACAAAAAAACTTTTGGACTCCACAGTATCCAACTATTCTGAAACATTTTAAAAGCCACATCCTGTCTCATAACTGAAAACATAAACGGATATTCTATAGAATCTCAAATTATAGCTCTGAAGTAGAAGTACAGCCAAAGCTCTTTTGCCTATACTTCTGGGGATCGCAGGAGTGCAGTTTGTTCTGTCAGGTCACAGAGCTGGTTCAGGCTGGGGAAAGATCCACCCAGATGCCTGGATCAGCCTCTCAACTTGTTGCTGAGAGCCTGAGCCAGCTGCTCCCACGGCCTAGTTCTCCAGTGAGCTCTGGATGGACAGCGCAGAGAGCAGGAGGCTGACAGTCTGGGGTCTCTGCTCCGAGTGGAGGGGGAGAACTGAAGGATCAGCAGTATTTGATCGCCCAGTTCTCAGTCTTGGGGCTAGTGGGGTACAGATGCTGCATCCACCTAGGTGAGTATATCAAAATTTTTTTTTTGTTTTTGTTTTTTTTTTGTTTTTGTTTGTTTTGTTTTTTTAATCCTGCACTTTTTAAAGCCAGGTTTCACACTATCCAGAGAGAAAAATATAAAATGTTTGCACTGCGGGTAGGAATCGTGCCGGGCAGGCTTTGGGGAACGGTGCCGTGTGTTTTTCCAACACAGAGCACTGCTCCATTTTTTTTTTTTTTTTTTTTTTTTTTTTTTTTTTTTTCCCCTTTTTAAAGTTAAGTTCCACCCAAAATCGGAAACTTCTCTTACCTTGACCCCAACAACCGCCCCCCTTTATTTGGTACATTTGTGGGTGCGGGCGGCTGCAAACGGGTACCCGGTATTGATAGGTGTCTGCTCCCAGTTCCAGCTCAGTTCCCGTGGCAAACTGAGCCGGAAGTTGGGCCAGAACTCCACTTTAACTCTGTATTGATGTTGCAAAGTGACATTCTATTCATTTTTCATGTACTGCAGCAAAAACACAGGATGACATTGATAACTGGAGAGCAGTGTGGGAAAATGCAGACCTGCTGAAGTTTTTAGTATTGCTCTGCCCTGCTGCTGACAGTTGTGTGGAAGTGCGAACAGGGCATACAGAAAACCATTTAGTTGTGTGCCCTTGCGGAGAGCTGCGTTTTTTTTTTTTTTTTTTTTTTTTTTTTTTTTTTTTTTTTTTTTTCCCTTCTGCAGAACAGCACAGCTCTCCACAAAAGTGTGAACCAGCACATTTTTTGTGTGTGTGTGTGTGTGTGTGTGTGTGTACAATTATTTTTATTTTGCAAACTGCATTTCTGCTTTTTCAGGGTATGTACCGGTAGGTGACGTAATGCAGTTTTATTTTCTTAAAGTGCAAGGGCCAATAACAAAAAATGTTTCAACCAGATCCCTCTCACAATTATGGAAAAATATATGGTCTTGAATTCATCTAAATCTAGGGGGAGTTGCCAGTGTAACAGAATGATTGATTAAATACCTCCAATAAAAAAAAAAAAATCAGGATGTGACTACCAACAACAATATTGTATGACACATCAAGGTGGATACTATTATGAGACATGTATACTTTTATTTTTCAATAAACTTTAAAAATCAACACAATAAAATCTTGGTTAAGAATATGGAATTTTATAAATACAGCCTCTACTGCTACAGTCCGCCTCTTGAAGGCTAAGTTTTTTTTTTTTTTTTTTTTTTTTTTTTTACCTTTTGTAATATGTAGCATGCAGTCATGGGGCCCCGCGAATTTTAAAAATACTACTCAGATTTATGAATTATTGCCTAGTTTGGGAACTTATTCACACCATGTCTCTGTGCCCTGTTCACACCCTACACATGTAGTGGCGTGCTGAGAAACACAGCTCAAGGGTACATGGTGTGAACAAGCCCTCAATGCCATACCTGTCCTGTCTTGGATCTAGGACACACTGTGCACTGGGTGCTCCCCGGCATCGCAGGAATGAGTGCTCTCCCTCTTTTTTAAGACCTGCACAGTGCACTATTTTCCACTGTCACAGCAGCATCTAGGTGTTCATACCAGTGGGGTGGTATCCTATTGCTTGTTCTGTAGTCAAACCATGCCATCTTTGTATTACTTGCCATACATAATCTACATACCTGTACAAAAGTTACAGGCTATTCTGACTAATTTGTGTGTTGATCAGGCCTTAACAGAAGCTCACAGCAACCATAAAAGAACAGCGGCTGATGGAGAGAACCGAGAGGAAAATCTGCTGAAGGAATCTGCTTCCAAGGAAGCCAAGCTAAATACGAAGATTGATGACCTCCAGAGTGAACTGAAGCAGATGAAGTCGTCTCTTGCCAACACCTCTGCAGATAATGAGCGCCTCACCCTAGTTATACAGAACTTGAAGAAGGTAAGATAATCGCCCTTGCCATGTCTGAATTGTGGAGTGGTTAAATCTGCTGACTGCAATCTATCGTTGCTAGGAACACAAGGCAAGAAGACAAGATCATACAAGTATACGAATATAATGAAATTATTATATATTCTTGTATTATAATACAAGATCACACAAGTATTTAAAAATACAAAGAATTATAGTGCAACTATTATTTGAATACAATTATTGCAATAATAGGATACACGATAATACAAGTAGAATGCAATACAACCCAAGTTCAAATTTTAATGACTTTTTTTGGTAGTGCATAATTAGCAGAAAATAACATAGATTGTTGTGAAATACTGTCGCAACAATGTTTCACACTACTTTTCCAGAATAGGTGTGTTTTCTAACTTTAGAGGTGCCCAAAACTGAGGTCTGCTATACATTTTGTGAAGAACCTTTTTAAAATAACGATTTAAAGTGTATCTCCAGGCCAAACTTGTTTTTGATGTTTTTGGACAGGGTGGGAAAGTGATAGAATCTGTTAGGGTTTAGTGCTGTCTGTGAATAGATTCTCCCTCTCTATTTATCCTGGTGAACATTGTCTCAAGGACAGAGTCATGGGATGTCCAAAATGTTGCTGTCCCTTTTTTATACATGCAGGTCTCAGAATGTCTTGACCACTTATGATCGGCCCAGGCAAGGTGACAGCTTCTTACAGGATTGCTCAGGTGGGGTTAATACTAAGATCCAAACACGCCTGAACTCCTCTCTAGTCCATCTCTCTAGCTGTCAATAGAAGATGGTTACGTTCCTAGATGCAGTGGGACCATGGAGAGCTAATGTAGCCACCCTCTAACAGCAAAAATAGAATTTGTAGATTTCGAGGCTGATGCTTTTTTACATTGTTGCAGCATTTTTTTTTTTTAATTGGCAAGGGGTGCTTCCCAGTCATTGATGACTGGCTGCTGAAGTCTTTTTGTTTTTTTTGCCTTTTTACATGGAACTCTTACACTAGCACCACAAGGCTGCATGAGAAACGCAACAGAAAGGCACTTTGTTGTATATTTTATGAGCTCAATTCACGCCAACACACTGTTAATATGCACCAAAAAAATACAATTCAAACATGTAGAATTTCCCTACAGCATATTCTGGTGTGCTAGAACATGTTGCAATGAGCCGCAGTGAATATTAATAGAATACAGTCTGAATAAAAGTGTTTGAACACCGAATTGTAACGTTGTGTTTAAAAAATTGCATGCCAGTGTATGTGTTTTTGCTATGGTGTGAATGATCCCTTATCTGTGTGGTGGGGGATAGTGGGTCTGAATTGGTCATGAACACTTTAGACACTTGGTCCTGTGCAGCTTTATAGTCTCTAAATATAAGGAGGATGTCCACTATGCTGTAATTTAAGCTTACTTCTACAGGAACCATGCAATGTTGATTCATCACAGAGTACAATTACTGGCCTGTCTTGTGGCAGGCAACTCAGAAAGGGCAGGGATCTCTCCGGCTGGCACGAAGCATAAAAGTCTTTCACATTCTGCATTCCCACACTGCGGAGGCCTTCGTTATACGTTTCTCTGATCATGCTTTCCCTGCACAATCCCCCGCTGTATATGCCATTTTGAAAAAAAGCATAGCTACACATTGTCCAGACTAGAACTGGTGACATGTAAGCCTTGTCAATAAATTGTAGTCCTTGTGGCTAAGATGTTGGCCCATAAGCTCTGCTTACAATTTATAACTGAATTAAATAAAGAGAACCAGAAATTCTGTTCACTTCACACGCAAGGCATCATTGTTCTGCGTTCATAGGAAGGCCTGATGTAAAGTCTAGCTTTGTGGAGAGTGAATGTCCTTTTTCTTGTCCTAAAAATACATTGCATTTTTACAAACTCCATCCTTGACCTGGAAGTAGAAAAACGCGGTGCACAACAATGATGTCCTGAAACTCCAGTCAAGCAAGCCGCCACGTCCTAAGGCATTTAAGCATAACAGGGCTTAATCAGAGGGATGTCCATACTGTCCAAATTCCCCCTTGCAAAGACAAAGTTAACTTGTTTGATGAAAGAACATTGTGCTGACTTCAGTCATCCAATCATGTGCAAGCAGTTTTTTTTTGTTTTTTTTAATTCTCACATGATTGGGTGTTCTTTGCAAGGGGTATTGTCATTTATGTGAATGAGGAAAAATGTGAAAATTCACTTTGCAAAGTATAAATCTTTTTTTTTTTTTTTTTTTTTTTTAACTCTGCTGTTTTAGATTAAAGTGCCCTGGGAATCCTTTGTCATGTATTGTTTGTAAAACACAGATTGAATGTATATGGTAAAAAGACTCCATTTTAACTGTTAAAAAAAAATAAAGAAATAAAAAATTGTTGCAAAGTTTTTAGTGAAATATATTTTCTTTTAAATCTGCAGCAGAGACAGTACTTGCAATAAATGAAAAGTGTCCCTTGTGCTGCTGACTCCCGTCATGTTAAATTCTATAGTCCTTTGCTACCTTCCCTGCTTATCCCTGCAGTGGTGATCTTCCAGTGCTGCGGGGGTTAATACAAGCGACTGGACTTGTTATGGCCACTTTTCATTCTGGGAAGCAACCGTACAGCTTCTGTGCGGGGGGGGGGGTGGAAAAGGCAGGCATAGTCTGCCCTTTGGATGAGTGTCTGACAGCTTTTTAACTTTTTGCAGCATTGGAAGATCATCACTGTGGGGGTATCCAGGGGGCAACATGGCAGCCACCAGCATAAGGAACACTTTTTTTTTTTTTTTTTTTCCTAATATTTGGTAAGTACAGTCCCTGGTGGTAGTTTAGTAAAAAAATTTTTTTACTAAACTGGCTCACTGAAATGAGTGTCTAAACCCCACTGAGCTGTTGCCTTGCTTTCAACTCTCTACTGCATCTGGACTGTATTACAAACCATAAACACGTAATGCCCAGTGCAAGGACAGTGGGGTTATGCTGAGTGTTGGTGGCAATGTCCTTGTGAATTAAAGAGCTTCACTGTGTTGGCCTATTTTGAACTGGAGTCAGTGCCATGTAATCCACTGTCACATTAGGTGCTCATCTGCATGCCTGATCCATGAGTACACCGTATTGATGGTAAAATATTAATGTGACAGATTGTCCAGTTGCAAAAAATGCACTTTACTTTAAGCCAATTGTTCCAATTTAAAGTCCAGTCTATAAAGAACTCTGTGTGCAGTGATTGGTCAGCATCTCTATCACGATGGGACTGTAAATTGAAGACTATCTCCAAGATTACATGTTTTAAGGCATTGCCTTTTTCTCAAATTTCAATCAGAAGAAACATGTCATCTTCGAGACCCCACGCTTACTGGCATTAAAGTGGTTGTAAACTGTTTGTGTTTTTTTAATTTAACTACAGGTAGGCTTATAATAAAGCTTACCTGTAGGTAAAACTAATATCTCCTAAACGTGAACCGTTTAGGAGATATTCTCTTTTCATTTAATCCGGTGCATGCGCTCTGAAGGAACGGCATAACTGCCGTTAATTCAGCGCTGTACGCTGTGGCCTGGGACTCCCGTGTGCATTCGCGGTAGTGATGTCATCGTGGCCTGGCCTGTCAGAATGCCAGAGCTTGCGAACATGGAAGGAAGATGGTTGACGATGGAAACCTCTACAGTGGTGATAGCATGCCGCTGGAGGGCTTGGTGTTGAGGTAAATTTGACATTACCTTGAAGGGGTCTTTTTTTATTTTTTTTTTTATTTTTTTATTTTTCCTGCTGTCTGACTTGAGGACAGAGGAGAATGGACAGACTGGTTTGCGATGATAGAAACAGTAACTGAAATAAGCACTCATTACAACCAAGGTATGCAGAATACAATATGTTGAACCTTGAAGCAGATGCGCTACAGCAGCAAATGACCACATTGGGTGCCATTCCTGTCAGCTAAGAACAGGAAACTGAGGCTACAATTCGCACAGGCTCACCAAAATTGGACAACAGAAGATTGAAAAAATGTTGTCTGGTCTGAGTCTCAATTTCAGCTGCAACATTCAGATGGTAGGGTCAGAATTTGGCATAAACAGCATGAAAGCATGGGTCCATCCTGCCTTGTATCAACAGTTCATGAATGTGCAGCCGACAAATCTGCAGCAACTGCGTGATGCTATCATGCCAATATAGACCAAAATCCCTGAGGAATGTCCAACACTATGCCACGTAGTATTAAGGCAGTTATTCATGCTGATAGCAGAGGAACAAAATCGTAAATTGAAATGGCACTTGGTGCTCTTAAGTCCTCATACACAAGGCATGGACGTTTTTACAGCTGCTGTTTTTGGGTTTGAATGTGTTTTTTTTTTTTTTTTTTTTTTTTTTTTTTTTTTTTTCCCCTCTCTACAGCTAGTAAACCCCCCAGCGTGTTATCCGATGTGTCCATGTGCACACAGACTGTAATCAGTGTTTTTTGGCTGGGGAACAAACCCAGAACTAGTGGGTTTCTAGAGGAGTTTTGTTAGCCACTAAAACACTCTAACGCTGTAAATCGCGGCAAACCAGCACTTTTTTAAGCTTTTTTTTTTTTTTTTTTTTTTTTTTTTTTTTTTTTTTTTTTTGAAAAACGCTAATGTAAAAACACTGAAACTCACGTTTTTAATGTGCCGTTACACAGCTAACATTACCAGTGTTATTAAAATGCCCCGTTTGCATGGAGCCTAGTTGTGAAGTACACACTGTAGAGGGAAATGCTTTGTTGATATTTCATGTCTGAGGTTTACAACCACTTTAACGTTTTTCCAACAACATATCTTCCAGTCAAGCAGAAAATATTCCGTTTATAAAGATTGTTCTGCTTTCCCTCCTTGTAGGAATGCCAAGATATGGAGAAGGAGAAGACACAGTTACGGGACGAGATAAAGCAGTTAAACTTGGGGAGATGCAACATTTGCAAGACTTTTCTGAACTTGAAGAAGAAAATATTTCTCTTTTGAAACAAGTGTCTGTCCTAAAGGAAAATCAGGTAATTTTGATCTTATTTTCTCAACCTTTTCTTTGTATTTGTGATCATGGTGTCTTCTGCTTACCTTGTAATACAATCCGGAATGTATTTTCTCAAGTACCCATTTTCATTTAAAAAAAAACTCCCTTTTAGTATGCTGCAGCAGACCTTACTTTATGAAATTTACTAAAACTGGAGCACTCAGAATCTGGTGCAGCTAGCTGGGCATGGTAGCCAATCAACTTCTAACTTCAGCTTGGTCGGTTAAAGTATTACTAAATGCAGGATCCTGCATTCATTATCTGGTCTCCCACAGTACATAGAACAAGGAAGTGCAATTAATAAGGAACTAAATATAAACTGCTAAATACCTTTCCTCATCAGCAGTATTTAGCAGTCTTGGAACTTCTATCAGTGTCCAGCTGAGCACATGTTAAAGCTTGTAGGAGGAGTTTTAATTTTGCTCTAGGAAGATGCGGAACCTCTGACCTCTGTCTGGGCAGTGCTGATCACATGCACTCTCCCAAGAAAAGAAAAAAAAACCTCTAGCGATGCACACTTAACGGAGTATGTGCAGAATGTCTCCACACAATGTCTTATCAGGGGATAAGAGAGGGATGCTGGAAGGAGGGGAGGATCAGAGAAGTCAGGATCAAACTGCATTTTTACACAATGCAGAGGATTAACCCCTTAGGTTCCACAGTGAGTATAACCAGCATGTTTTACTGCAGTTAGACTGATTTTTCTGTTGTGGGTTTAGTAACACTTTAAATTAGAACTATGGGGGGGGGGGGGGTAATTACATATATAATGCACTGTCACTTGCATTAGCAGTTATTTATACCCACCTAATCCAGCTTCTAGAAAATGCTGTGGAAATCCAACCAAAATCGGAACACCCAATTAAGGTGACCTTGGCCCTTGCTCAGATGAGGGTTGCAGATTTACACTGGATTTCAGGCAGTGATACTGCCACCCCTTGAATTGTGGTTTTGTGTGTGTTTTTATTTATCCAATGCAAAGGGAACTTTACATTGAATTTTTGAGCCACAAGTGGTTGCCGAGAGTTTGGCATGCAGTTGCAGCGTGGTTCCGTTGACTTCAATGAACAGTCGAACTGCTTGCCAAACACATACAGGCTGTACAATTTTTGTACTGCCACTGCTAAACATGTTCATTGAAGTCAATGGAACCACGTTGCAACTGCATAACCAAAAATTGTGACTTTGATATACCAGCCCATGCAGCCATGGGCTGGTATATCAAGCCTGTTTTTGCTGCCCATGGGAATGAGGCCTTAGATTTCCTGGAGTGGAGATTAGCCCCAGAAATGTGTTGGCTTCTCTTGAACTTTTTGTCTTTTGGAATAAAACCTTTTTATCTGGCTTCTTCATTTTCAACACTTCCCAAAATTGTAGAAATCATTCAGGGTGTAGGAGCTGCCAGCCTTATATCAACACCACTTAGCTGCATCAGTATCATACCATTGGAGGATAATAATATAGAACATGTATTTATATCAAAACTCCACGGCTCCAGCATCTTTTAATCGCTCCTTCAAGAGCTAGTATTAACACCAGTACTTGTTTTCTCTCATGTATCAGTTTTTATTACCTTTTTGATTCTGCCAGTAGATCCATTATGTTTCCGCTAACTGTGAACAGGCCAAGCTGTCCAGTAAAAAGGGACAGTTCTGTTCACAGACAGTCCCCATCTGGGCTGCAAAATTATCAAAACACTTGTCAATCAACCAGTAGAGGCGCTTTGATTGCAGTGGATTGGACGAATGCACCACCGGGATACCACCAACATGCAGATTTCGGAGCTGGTGGTCATCCTATAAAAAAAAAAAAAAAAAACAAACAAAAAAAAAAACTTCACAGTGGAATCGTGAGCAGAAACTGGCAGGCCTAACATTTACTCACACCAGTATAACAAAAAGGCTTACACTAATTTTACAAAGCAAAAAGGAAGCTGTTTACTAAACTTTCAGTATTTGGGTATTTGCTTTAAATTTTTGGGCGTTTTTCAGTCCTGCCAGTGAAAAGGTGGCCCCTGCCAAATTAACTTTTATGGGAAAGCCACACTCATGGTGGTCTCATGGTGTATGTCTTTCCATGGCTTGCATGAACAGTGCAAAGTGACCATTTTTAGAGGAAAGGCTCAGATCAAGGCCACACAGTAAAAATGCTGGATCAGGGTTTAAAGTGGAATTCTGCCTAACACTGACTTGTCCTCGAAATATCACCTCCCTCTTCCTGCTACCTATACTGCCTGACCTGTGTACTGTTCTATTTTTAGTCTGCTTTGGTCTGGTCACTTGATCCCCTGCGTCAGTGACTGGTGAATGCAGGGAGAGAGGAGCGAGTGTTCAAGAGACTGGGAGTTTCAGGAGCCATGATGTCACTTATAGGCTCCCATGTCCCAGCTGTTGTCTGCGTTCCTTCATCTCCCCTGCAGCCACCATTAACTGAGCCAGGGGTGCTAGAGCTACAGATCATGTGACTGGAGCGAGCAACAAATGGGTAAGTACGCATCTTGTTTTACACTGGCTAGGCAGTATAGGTAGCAGGAGGAGAGAGGGAATATTTTTATGACTAGTTGGTGTTGGGATGGAATTCCACTTTAAAGCGATACTAAAGGTTCAGTTTTTTTTCTTGCAAATAAACATGCTATACTTACCAACTCCGTGCAGTGGTTTTGAGCAGTGGAGCCTGGAAGCTGATTGGTTTCTCTGCAGATTTTGCACCCTCCAGTTTTAGTAATTCTTCCCAATGTCTGTCCCAGCTGGAACATGTGACAGATGTGATCTTGGGCCTATATTTTGTTACAAAATGTAGATCTACTTTTTTTTTTTTTTTTGGTCTCCATGCTTTTTAAACATTTTAAATTTCTGTCCCCCCAAGGTGGACTATGAAGGACTAAAACATGAACTGAAAAGAAGAGATGAAGAGATTGATATATTAAATGGTCAATTGGATGAGCTGGTCCGTCTAAAAGACATAGCTGAGCGCCAGCTGGAGGAGGCCTTGGAGACCTTGAAAAGTGAGAGGGAACAAAAGAATGAACTGAGGAGAGAACTGTCTGGGTACCTCAGTTATGACTCCATAGGAAACCTGCAGATCAATCTTGAAGACCCAAATGAAGAGGATTTTGACAGCGGATACAAGTCCAATGGAGATGTCTTAATGTCCACCCCACGTAACAGCGACATCTTTCATCCTGGACCCAAGCTGGCCTCCGATCTCTTCACTGAGCTGAACCTGACCGAGATTCAGAAACTCAAGCAGCAGTTACTGCAGGTATTTTTTGACTTGGCTTGCCTGTGTAAGAATGTTACCCGTTATGCTTATAAGTGGATTAGTGTTTTGTAGTTTTTGATGATCTTGCAGGGTACCATTCCAATTGGACTTAGTGATTGGATCACAAGCCGTGGTGGTCTTGTAGATTTGTGCTAAATGTTGCATACACAGAGCTCTTTTTTTATGACGTTTGCCTAATAAACTTGTGCATAGTTTTATCTGATGTCTGTCACCGTTATTGATATTTCTGGTAGTCGAAGTATAGCCATACATGCATGGACATCTCCATCCATGCCAAACGGTGTGAATTGAGGTTTCTCCACTGCTGCCTATTGTATTCAACCAGCCATGACACCTATTACTGCCCGTACCCCTGAATAGTGATGCAGTCACTGCTGACAATTTTCCACCCGACTACTTCTGTTTTTCAATTGAAGTTGGTTGTAGTTTTTGTGGTGCTGGCAAGGCCACCCATGACTTGAATTCCAGCCGATTCACCAGAAATGGCCGAAATTCCAGCCGTATATGGCCAGCTTTTATACGGAAAAAATTTGTTTGCGTTTTGAGTAGGTTTAGCTAGTGGTAGTTAACCTGGCCATACATGGATAGAAATTCTGCCGTTTCAGCAGGGACCAGCTGAGATTTGACCTATGTATGGGCAGGCTGATTGTACCCATGTCGATCCATTGATCAACGTGGGCACAACCAGCCTGTCAGATTTTTCTACATGCAATTACTGCTTTAGCCAACAGCAGTAATCATTTCACCCATGGTGGAAGGAAAGAAAATCGAATCGTATGTGGGTTGCCTTCCTTTCCAGTAGACATTTTCGCTAATGTTCGAAAACATTTTGATGGTTATCCGAATAATCGAAACAAAGCTGCTTGGATAAATGGCAAAACAGTATTACAGGACAAATCCTGATGAATTTGATCAAATTCTAAGGGCTGGTTCACATCATAGAAATGGTGTATGCGTGTTTTTAATGCGATCCAGTTCATTTTTATTTGCCTTTTTTACTTTTTATTTTCTTTAACGTGAATAAGGATGTACATTTCAGGTGCGTTTTTTGTTTCTTTGATGTTCTACTGCGTTTCAGTACTTTTCATTGCAGAAAAAATGCAGCATGTTCTACTCTTTTTTTTTTTTTTTTTTTTTTTTTTTTTTGTTTTGTGCAACTGACTGCACTGGTGTGAACTATGCCATTGGAAACCATGTAACCTACAATCTAAAAATTACTGCCATTTTTTTTGATTCAGCAAAAAACGCACTGGACTTATTGTGCTGTGAACTGGCCCTCCTACCTATTCCTGGATAAATGACCGCCTTTACACAACCTATAGCAGTAGGTTGCGGCATTCTGTGCAGTGATTATGATGGGCGGATGTGTGACCGGTGATTTTTTTTTTTTTTTTTTTTTTTTTTTTTTTTTTTTTTAAGGGGCAACCTTTTTTTTTTTTTTTTTTTTTTTTTTTACAAGTATATGTATAAAAATATCTGTATAATGCATGTGCTTTCTTTTTGTCTTTATACATATAAAAGCTGTACCTCTTGCTTACTACTGCTGTACAATGACTGTTTGACTTGCTCAGTCTTTCAGTGCAGGTCCACAGGTCAGTGTTGCCCTTAAAAACCTGTTTTATGTACAGGCGGAATGGGAAAGACTGTGTACAGACCTGGTCTAGTACTTTTAAAGGATGGGTTCATCTTTTGGATCATGTTATTTGTTCCACCTATTTTTAGGATTCTCTGCTTGCTCCTGCTGTCACAATTTAAAAACAATGCAGCCCTGCGGGGCTCTGCCTGCATGGCCATGGCATTCATTCACAGTTTCCTGTGAATGAATGCCTAGAAGTACTGTGAGCCGTTGCGGCTAATTGCTTGTAGTTCTCAGTGAACTACCAGGGCGCTAATGAGGGCTCTGGTAGTTCATGGATTCTTTCTGCTCTCAAGTAACTTCCTACAAGGTATAGGCAGGAAGATATGCTGATAGTCTGTGGGATCTTGAGATTGCACCTGCGATCTGCTGATTACAAGTGCAATGCTCTGCCAGATCCTTAGGAGAAAAAAAATTAAATGAAATGCACTTTGAAAAGAGGATTGCTAGGAGCTGATCTGCTCATAAGGCAAACTGCAGAGCTTTTGGAGCTCTCCTGCATCCTATTCCATAAGGCATCTTCACCAGCATCTGGTTGCAGATCCTTGCTGACCTCAGTAATTCCTTATCCTCGGACAGATCTTCCTTGTGTGGCAGTGATGGACAGGAGGGATGTTACTGATCCTACCAATGCTACCTTTCATTTATTCCCACTACTTGGCATTTTGACAAGTCTCCTGGAAAAGGTAGTTCCATGTAGGAGGATCAATCTATGTAGATTGTTAGATAGTTGTGAGGCATAGGACATAGGCATCATTCTTATGGGGTGCATCGTTGCATACCCTGTGTGAGGGTGGTGTTTTACCTGCATGGGAATGCACAGGTGTTCCTTGCATTCTTGTCATTTGGGACACAGCAGCAACATAAACACCTAATGACATCTGTGTTGGCTGTGCGTCCCCAAATTCTCACTGTTTGTGTTCGAGCCGTGCACCCCCACAGGTGTCATATTGGGAGCAGCGGCTGTGTGCATTCTGCCACGGTGTGCCAATTCACATGAATGATACTGCCTGCAAAGGAATGCGTAGAACACCTGTGCATCTCTGGGTGGGAAAAACTCAGCCTTCGCATGGGGTAAGCCTTCGCATGGGGTATGCATTATGTCGCTTTGCACCTGAAAAACTTGGCAGAGCCTTGTTTTTAAAAAGTTTAAAAGTAAATTAAATTCTGCCCACAAGTAGATGTTATCCAAAAGACCTATCCACCTGCCTTAACCCGGCCATAGACAGTTCGAATCTCGGCCAGTTCAACAGGAGCCTGCTGAGATTCAAACCATGTATAGGCAGGCTGAATGTACCCAAGCTGATTGATCAACTTGGGTACAACCAGCCTGCCGGATTGTACATGCGATTTATTGCTAGCGGCTGTTATAGCCTCTAGCTTTGATCACTCTCCTCTCCCGGCAGGGGCGTTTCTTCCTGCCAGGAGAACACAATCCCTCAGTGGGAGGGATCCCCCTGTCTGTACTAATGGGGTGACCCTTTGGTTTCAGGAAGGAAACCATCTATGGCTTGCCTTATGCGTTCCTAAAGGCCTGACTCTGCTTTAATTTGCTGAGCATTCCAGGCTGATATTGTACAGTATTTGTAAAGCCTTACCTAATGTGAAAGTTTAAACTCAACACTGACATCTGTCTGACATTTATTTAGTAGACTGCAAGTGAGGGGAAATGTCATAAACTGGGACATAGCAATAAAAACTCAACAGAAGGTCTAACCCTTCCACTTTGACTGCACTTGACCTGTCTAAACTTCAAAAGCCTGCAGGTATGGCCAAATGCTGGGCTGTTCTGACAGGTAAAATACCAAAACTTTGACGCGTTTGCCTGACTGGACAATAGGTAGTAGACAATCAATCATAGCGATGAACCTTTAGGAATGTTTAGGGCTGGAGGTAGTAGCAAATCCCAACACTACCAGAGAATTTGGAAGTTTTGCAGAACAGCCCCGTATTTGCCTGTAACAATAGGAGACCTATAGGCCCTCATGTACACTGGGCATTTAGCTGTGGATGGAGGGCACAAGTGTGTTGTCTAGCCCTGCTACCAGCACCTTGCCAGATTCTATGAGACACAGACTTGGATATTGCAACTATCAGTGTGAATGTTTAGGGTAGTATGCGTCCAGGGATGAATGCCAGGAACGCAGGAAGTCTGCATTTACCTCTGGACGCATACAGCTGTAATGTTCCTACTGATAGGTGTGTGTTCAGCTGGTGCAGCTATTGACAGGCTGCCACCAGCAGAGCTGAATGGGAGATCTCTGCCTCCAGGAAACTCAAGACCCATTTATCAGGGCTAAACTTCCATGTACATGGGGTCTTAGATGAGCTTCTGAAGTGTTAGATCCCCAGTCAAGTTTTTATTGTGTGTCCATGTTGAGGAGTGTTACACTTTGTCCTGCTAACAATTTGTCCTTCATGTTCTGGTGACAACTCTCAAAAATGGGCGGTTTCCTCTTTCACTCACTTTCAACATGGAGAGGAGATATTAGCCAATGATGACACTTTTTTTTTCAGGGGCTCTATACGGGCATTTCTTTTTTTTTTTTTTTTTTTTTTTTTTTGTAGATTGCTTTTTCTCACTATTAGGAAATTGAGGGAAATTTTTAATTTTGATTCGGTTCTCCTCATGCACTGCTCCCTGTCCCCTATCAACCCCCCACAACACACAGGCTGGGCAGCTCACCCCGACATGCAAACTAACTGCCTTTTTAGACCATGTCACACTTTTGTATTTTGGGTGTTACATGGTTACTAATATCATGCTCTTGTGGGGCTGGGGCGCTAAGAAGATGCAACACACAGAGACGTGGTTCATGTGCTAAGAAGAAGCATTCTGATAGGAGGAGAAAACAGAGCATCATAGTGATGAACTGATCACTGTGCTGCTTCTCCTTTCACTGTCCAATCAGAGGCTGGGGTCATGTCTAGGACAACCTGAACCCAAAGGAAATGGGTTAAATGATCTGGCCTGGCCATTAGGCTGAGGACATCTAGCAGCATGAACAAAAGTACTCTGGGGAAAAAAATCAATAGATCGAGAGCCGATATTTCAGCGTTTTTTGTGGTGGTTTTTTTTTTTTTTTTTTCTTCTGTAATGGGCTATTTATTCTTATTGTTGCGTGTTTCTGCTTTAAAGTGGAACTGACATTTTATTTAAAGAGAAAAAATGAACACAGACTTGTTTTGCAGAGGGGACTCTATTCTCTTCTGTTAAAAACCCCAATTTTTTTTTTATTTACTATATATTTCAATATTACATGGTTTGGAAAAATCTATTAGAAATTAGCATGGTGTCTGGTCATCTTGCTGCTAGCCTGGCTGATGCGACTCTAGTGGGCAT